TTTTTTTTCCCTGCCCTACTTTTTTTACTAAGTTGACGCACTTCAGCTCCAACGCAAACATCTTCAAGTTGGGCTTCTGGCTTCTCGCACACATCTGCTCAGACCAGGCGACCCTAACGGCCGTCGTGACCGAAGTAGACGCCATTATGTCAGCCAGTAACCACGCTCAAGAATCTCTTTCCGCCCTCTCGATGCGTCTGGGACAAAACCCCCTCCTCGAAGCCCTATACAATGAAACCCAACGACTGACGATAAACTCCGGCTCCGCACGAACCGTCGAGCAAGACGTAACCATCAACGGCCGGACATTCAAAGCCGGCGCGCACCTTCTCATCCCGTACCGCCAGCTCGCCATGTCTCATCCACTGCTCGCGCACGACTGGGATGGCTTCCAGCCAGACCGGTTCCTCTCTAATCCTACCCTTGCACATAGTAAGAGCTTCCTGCCGTTTGGAGCGGGGAAGCATAAATGTGTGGGCCGCTTCCTGACCAAGCGGCTAGCCCTAACTTTTACCGCGCTAGTCGTGCACCGGTTTACAGTGAGGCCGTTGGATGAAGTTCCAGCTATAGAATTTACGCCGGTAACTTCGGGGCCTGGAGGGCCGGTAGAGGGGAGCGATATGCAGCTGGTCATTTCCCAACGAGATGTTCTATCTTAGTACAATAAAAGAAATGGCAAGAGGGATATGTAACATAGAATACAACGCATGAACATGAACAGCCCTCCCTACTACCTCGTATCTTGGCTTGCAGCGAACTAACGTAGATGAGGTTCTGATGGGCTTATCGCCCACCATTCCATACTCAAAAGGGTGGCAATTTTGCCCAAGTGCCTTGGCAGCGTGCATAGTACCCCTGATAATTGTAACTTCCCGGCATTAGTGTGATGCGAGGCGTCCAGAGAAGTCCATGATGATGGCTGTCATCATTTCATCGTCTACAGTTGGTTCCCCCTGCCCCTGCTCTAGTTGCACTGTTACCGCCACCCTCGCCGGTGGAATTAGAGAGCCGCGACAATGCCTCAGTTGCGAGGGGGGGGGGCGGCCTGGAAAGCCAACTTTGCTGGGCAGGGTAAGATCGAGACGGGGTGAACCGTGAAGATAAGCGGGGCGATTCATGAAGGAGGGGTAAGATTTGCTATAGAACTTGGCAAGGAGCAGGGGGTGGGAGTGAAAAAAAGGTGTACTAATGGGTTCGATGCTACCCTCGCTGTGAGGTATAAGGTATATTTAGCTGACAGACGTCGAGTGAAATGGTTCTAAAGATGCAGCGTTGCGGGGTTATGGGATTATAGGGTTATATCTGCATCAGGGCTTCAAGAAAGCAAACACCGTCCGGTCAGGTGGAGCTGAAAATAACCCTTCCCCCTGTCAGCAACTACTACTATTACTATTACCGTCCATCAGGCTTGCCAGGTTTCTATTGCAATTTGGGGCCCCCAATCATGTCTCACTCGCATGATGACTGCATGGTGTTCGAAATGGGTGCCCGTCATATTCCCACTCCTGACGATCGCCTCCGTTCTCTCCTGGCTTGGTGGCTCTAACAGAACATTCTAGGGAGTATGTGACCCTTTAAATTCAAATAACTCTTTCAGAAGAAACAGATTCTGCTCGGCAAGTCATCGCCCAGTCATGGATCCCAATTGGCCGGCCGCAACACCACCGCCAGGTGTGGTTCCAAACTTCGACAATCCACCGTCACAACGAACAGCAATCATCGTGTTGCAAACAATTTTCCTAACCCTCACGGTCCTGGCGGTTTCTACTCGTATTTATGTGCGGACATGTATTATCAAACTCTGGGGCGCCGAAGACAGTGAGTACCATGCACCATTCTGGTTCGACGCCTGTATGGATAGTATGGGATCACTGAAATGACAGGATCCAGCTACCTGCATCCTCGCCACAGTAAGTTTCGACTGCGCGTATATCACCATTCCAGCCTTCTAACAGACCAGTGCGGCGCGATTGCTCATATGACGCTCTATATCCAGAGTCAGTGGTGATTCCCCATTATCTTTGCCCTAGCTCTAGGCTAACCTGGCTGTGGCAGCTCTACCACTAGGGTTCGGACGACACATGTGGGATGTGCGGGCAATCAACCTCATCAATCCCTCTTCCAACCGTGTATGCAATTTCGAGCAGCATTCGGATGAATGTCAGGGAAGCTGACAGCCCCAGAAACTCTCCGCCGGCGGCATCACTTTCCCCTGGACGGTCTGCTTTGCAAAGATTTCAATCCTACTTCTGTATAAGCGCATTTTCCCACTGCGCCGCGAGATCATCGCAGTGTGGGTAGGTATCGTCGCCGATGCGGTGCTTTACGCCTTTTGCATCGCCATCGCCATCGGCAGTATGGTGAAGTGCGCGGAGCTGTCGCAGTTGAGGGACCCATACTGTAAATTCAATTCCGGGACCATGATCACTATCCAATCTGTGATCAACGTCGTCACCGACTTCTACGTGTTGCTTCTGCCCATCCCGCGTCTGGTCAAGCTGCAGGTCAGTCGACGGCGGCAGATTGGCCTTTTGCTGACGTTCCTGAGTGGGCTTGGGTTCGTATCCAAGGTGTTCTCCTATTACAATCCATTCAGTACATTACTGACTGGTACATACTATCGTTCGCAGTGCCTGCGCGACCAGTTTGGCTCGGCTGATCAACTTTCAGCTCAATGACAGCGCGGATGTCTTCTGGACCACGGGTCGCAATGCCCAGTTCACGTACGTATCAAGGACACAGCAATTCCAGGCGCGAGATACCGATTGACTGTGTGATTGTCTAGAATTGTCGAGATGAACATTGCCATCATTGTCGCGTGCGCTACATCTTTCCCAGTGTTCTTCGCCCGGATGCACTCTCTCGGCTCATCCTTTTATAATTCGGCTATCTCCTTGCTCCATAGTACACGGGGGTCTCCCAAGGCCAGTCAGACTGGCAACCACTCTAACAGAAGGCCGACCAGTCAGCATTGGGAAAGACTGAAGGATGGCAGGGGAGGTCTCCGGCAGGACGCACAGGAGCTGGAGTTTCTGACTGACAATTCTGTTTAACCAAGCCTAAAATATAGAAGAGTTTTCTCCTTGTAGCAAAAGTTGATTTTGAGGTTCAGACGGCTGAGTAAGCACATAAATATGGGACAGGAAAAATGAGGCAATTGACGTGGTCGTATTTATCGTGGCAATTACGAACTAGAGCAGTAATAATAAATAAAAGATGATGCAGGGATGGTTGTTAAACAAAGACATAAAAGGAACCCCCCAAGACTTTCCGCCCACCCCCTGACTTTCTTCTCTTCTCTTCTTTTCTTTTCTTTTCTTTTCTTTTCTCATCTCACTTCCAATTTCTCATCGATTGGTTTGTTTAACCTAAGTATGTCTAGCATCGGCCCTGTCCTTGTTACCGGCGGTAATGGCTTCATAGCCTACCACATCATCGCCAACATTCTCGAGGAGGAGCCTGATTGCAGCATCCATTCGATAGACGTAAAGATTGACCGCAACCGCCATTCTCATCCGAACGTGCACTATCACCATGGCGATTTGGCCTGCGCCGCCGATGTACAGCGCATCATGCAGATTGCCCGCCCGGTTACCATCTTCCATACTGCATCTCCCGAATTCTCCGATGCCCCGCAGTCTGCTTACCACCGCATCATCGTGGAGGGTGCACATCACCTCCTAGACGCTGCGGTGAAGGTGAGCACCGTGCGAGCCCTAATCAACACATCAACCTCGGGCGTGATCAACGATAACCACACGGATCTCATTGATGCCACAGAGGAACTGCCAATCCTGCACCCCCCGCTTCAGAAGCGGCTCTATTGCATCGCTAAGGCAGATGCAGAAGAAGCGATCCAAGCTGCCAATCGTAACGGCGGCCAGGATGATCGGGGCATCCTGACCTGCGCGATGCGACCCGGTCTAGTCTTCGGTGAACGAGACGTCGGCACCTTAGGCAAGATGTTCGCCGTCGCGCGCCAAGGCAAGTCCCGGTTCCAGATGGGCAACGGACAAAACCCTTACGATTTTGTCTACGTGGGGAACCTGGCAGATGCACACCTCCTAGCCGCCCATGCCCTTCTCAACGCCTGGGGCAAGCCTCGCCCGACAGACGCCTCGACCCGAGTCGATGGTGAATGCTTCCATGTCACGAATGAAGACCCCTGGCTCTTTTGGGATTTCCAGAGGGCGGTTTCCGCCCTCACGGGCAACCCAATCCGGCCTGAGGATATTATCGTGATCCCGAAGTGGGTTGGACTGACGCTCGGGTTCGTGAATGAGTGGGTTGCGTGGATCGTTTCCGGCGGTACTAGAACTGCCAATATGACTCGTGAGGGTATTCGCTTTAGTACTCTGATCCGCACGCTGAATGGAAACAAGGCCAGACGGGTGCTTGGGTATCGTCCTAAGGTGGGTATGCAGGAAGGTCTTGAGCGAAGTGTGCGTTGGTTCATGGAGAATGCCGAGGGGAAGGCCTAGCCAAGTTGGAATTTATTCGGGCCCGACAATATCTGCATCAAAGGGCCGGATCTAGGCGTGGTCTATTTACACTCAACTCATGCGTATGCATCCAATCTATATGTCATATTCTCCAACGCGGGACTATTGATTGTCCCATCACACCTGGAGTAGGTGACAAATTAGTGAATCTCTCCTATTGTATGCAATATTAATACTTTATGCCATGTTATGCTATTTGAATCTAATTCTCGTTTTGCATCTATTATCCAAATAGAGAGAGAGAGAGAGAGAGAGAGAGAGAGAGAGAGAGTGTGTGTGTGTGTGTGTGTGTGTGTGTGTGTGTGCTCGCAGTACACATCCTAATGTACCAGCAGTACCTACGTAACTAAATAAATGCAGCCAAGACCTTATCACCGAAGTCTATCTTATCAGTCCCCAATTTAATTTAAATCCTAAACCCCCCCCCCCCTTCCGCTCTCCGCAACTCAATTCCAACCAGCACAACCTGAACAATCATTATTCAAACATCCACACATTAGAATTCAAAACAAGGATGGACCCCGACGCCAGCATCACCCCGGACCAACCCCCGGTATTCAATTACATCCTCTCCTTCCTCCTAGTCGGCGTAGCATGGGGCTTCACAACCCCCTTCATCCGCCGCGCCGCAGCCGACTTCAACGCGCGCCAGGAGAAACAACAACACTCGCAGTCACAGCCCCAAGCACAAGCACAAACACAAACACAAGCATCGCAGGAACCCGAACCCGACGCACAAGAACTACAGCATACCAATACGGAACACGAACCCTCAGACGAAGAAGAAGATGAAGACCACCCCTTACCAGCAGCTGGTACACAACAACCACAGCCCGCCTGGATGCGCCGCCCATCGCAGTCAACAACAACCTCAGGCTGGCTAAAGACGAAAATCACAACGTTGTTCTGGACGGTCATTAATCTTCTCCGTACGCCGGCGTACTCAATTCCCTTGATTATTAACTTGACGGGGAGTATTTGGTTCTTTCTTCTTGTTGGGAAACATGGTACGTACTTGAACTGTTTTTGTTGTTCCCCTTTCTGCTTTTCTTTCAGCAATTGAGCAATTATTGGTTGGGTCTTTGCAACCGCTGCCCCTGGTTCATAGAAAGAAAGAAAGAAAGAAAGAAAGAAAGAAAGATGTTGGGTAGTTTTACTGATATCAGATTCGTAGAACTATCCCTGACGGTTCCGTTGGCTAATTCGAGTGCATTCCTCTTCACTGTTCTGGGGGAGTGGTATGTGGAACGGAAGGTTATCGAGAAGGAGACTTGGTTAGGAATGGGGCTTGTTTTGGGGGGGATTGCTATTTGTGTTAAGTCTAAGAGTTAGGAAGAGATACTGCGTAGTACTCTGGGGTACATATGTAGACCTTCAATTGTATGTGATAGATACTACTGGGTATATATAGATGGAAGGAAGCATTTATACTTGGTTTATTTGGGGAAGAAAATAAAAAAAAAAAAAAAAAGTATGTGCATCATCCGTGAATCGAACACGGGCCTCATCGATGGCAACGATGAATTCTACCACTAGACCAATGATGCTATTGAGCTATCGGCTCTTAATGAATGGATTTGGCTTATTTGAATTTATATTCCAATTTTTAGAAGCTGTGAAGTAAAAGAGTATAGAGTGCCCTAATGAGTAGGCTTATATAGAGACTCGGGAGATAACTATATACCGGATACATATCAGTGGGTGAGTAGATGTAGTCAGGGTTGGTGAACCACGCACTAGGGAACAACCGTGGTAAATCTGCATGTTGATGATAACTATGGTTGCACTCTACATGGCTGGACAGGAAGGGAGGTGGTATCTGGGAATTGTCGTACTGTTGCTTGATTGAGGGGGTGAAAATCCCATGTAATGGGTCAGCACGATCGAAAGAGGTTGAATATGTCTTTCACTGGCGTGGACAAATGGCAAAGAAGTTGAATGTAGAAAAGTGTCAATGAGTTCTCTCTGCACTTCACTTCCATTGTCGCACCGCGTAATGAATTGATGAGGATATAACTTTCACATTGTGTTCAACAGTTTGTCTCCGATTTGTCGGCCGAGTGTGAAGACCGGAAAGACTGCGAACCCAGTTCCAATCAGCAGATTTGGAATATAATCGATCCGTCTCTTTTTCCCTCTAACCTACGGACAGACGCGCGTTCTGGTGAATGGTGGCTGTGTTCCACTTGAACAAACATTGGAAACCTACGGACAAGGCGAGATTGCACCCAGGCACGACCAGGATCGTGAGAGATTGGAGGGGTTTTGCAGACAATTATCGTAATGCGAGAAGCTTGTTGTTCTCTCACCGATTCCAGTGGCTCCCCTGCGAGGTGGAATTCTAGTGGACCAGCGGGCTCGACAGACGTACGAATTACCTCTTATATCAACAACCTGCACCCGAGCAGACAACGCTCTTTTTATGAAACACTTGAAGAGGTAGTGTCTCGAGTCATTGAGCCATGGAATGAGACATTAATCAAGGGAAACCCCCATTGATTCTAGTTTGTCTTCCCCACCGGGCAGGGCGCCCAGGAGAATCCAAACATTTGGTGTTGAATGGCGAAACGAGTATCCAGAGTGGGCAGAAGATCTACCAACGGAGCGGGATGGTAATCTCGAAGCATACTGCAACGCAGTTTCGCGTGTCAAGGACTATGTCGCCCGTCCTGAATATAGCGTTAAAGTTGAATGGCAAGGTCTTGAAACAAAGAAGGTTCCGCAGGATTAGGAGAGCACGGCATCTTTGAAGGACGTGGTGGATGCAAAATATAGTCGCATGTTTCGCTTCGAGCATTCCGACCCGGGCCTCTACTCGTATGACGAATGGAAGGCAGGAAAAACCGCAAAATCTACTGTTGGGCCCACGGAACATGAAATAGAGTGGAAAATAGACCCTAAGGTCTGGTCTTCGCTCCCTGATATAAAAGATCCTATGGAGCGTTGCAAAATCCTAGAGGTCTCTCGCAAGAGGTGCATAGATCATGATTACTACACAGTGAAGCTTCAAGAGACGTTTCGTGATAAAGGCCTACAAATCATTGTGAAGTTGGAAGGGATTGGGCTAACACCAAAAAGTCCATCTTACCCGGGCGAAGATTGGCATACAGACGGCCTTCTTAACGAGCACATTGTGGGAACTGCTGTCTATTTCTTTGATATGGAAAACGTGACAGGTAGCAGGCTCTTGTTCCGTCAAGAGATCGAAATGAATCCAGGTGTGTATCAGTTTGAGGGGTGGGATGTACCGTACTTGGAAGAATTATTCGGCATCAAAGATGAAAATCCGGCTCTTCAGGAGCTTGGGTCTGTGTTCTGTGTCAGTTGGCCAAGGACGCCTTATAGTTTTCCCAAATGCACTCCATCACCGCATGGAGCCATTTGAGCTTATTTCCAAATCCCGGGCCGGACACCTTCGATTTCTGACACTGTGGCTCGTCGATCCATACTACCGCATTTGCTCTACGCGAAATTTACCACCGCAGCGGCATGGCTGGTGGGCACAAGAAGCACAGTCACTGGTAGCGTCGGCTCATTCGCTTCCTCAAGAGTTGGCCTCTATGGTCATAAATGAAAAACATCAATGGCCTATGGATCTCCCCGAGGCTCATCAACATCGACTTGAACGAGGAAAAGATAGCTCTATCGCGCATGACGCGATAAAAGATCTGACCGAGCGCCATGAAGTAACTCTTTGCAAGCAAACATACTCATATTTATATTGTACTGATTCCTTCGGTCAGTACACACCAAAACTATATAGGCTTCGATCATAGATAGGCTCAAAAGCAATACTGTTCACCATTAAACCACCACTGTGGCCCGGTTGTGGCAATGCATATTATCGGCATGACGGCATATAATGCCTTGAATGCTCCCCATTATACTCATAGCCTTATGTACTATTCTTCACTTCAAGATTACCTGGACCAGCAACTTAGCCACCAGGAATCTTTCATTCAAATGTTTTTGGTAAGACTAAGTTGCTTCTTGGCCTTTTCAACTACCGTATGATCGACAAAGAACCAAGTCCATGCAGAAATGCAATGTGAAAGTTATATCCTCATCAATTCATTGCCTGGGTGGGCCGCTGGGTAATGTAGCATAGTTATCCCCAGGGAGTTCTAGCTTGGGGAATCACTGTACGTGTTAGTGCTAGAGGAGAGAAAGACAGAAATGAACAAGAAGATAGCGGCGGTCTTCAGGCTATGAGAATCCCAGAGGGGTTCAATCTACACACAGTACAGAGTCCCGAGATCTGGGCGAATAGAAAAACTGTACTGTGTAACAGGCCGAGCACTACTTTCATGCAAGCTAGTAGTACGGGGGATATATGTGTTATTATCCGTTTCCCTTTTCTAAGACGTCTTGGGTTCTTTGGATGTTGCGCCGGACACTTTAGGGTTTTGCTATAAATTCTGGGTAGAGCGCATCCGAATTGGTTCCGGGGATCATGTCCTAAGTTCTTCCTCTGCCGAGAGGTATACTCTTCTTTTTGACCTTTCTAGATTCTGGTTTTATGGGTAGGGATATGAACATCTCTCAGCCCTAGAAATAAAATAAAAAAAACTCTGTAAAATTGAGTAATTCAATCGAGATTGTGTTGACCCCATGAAGATCCCATGAACTGCCACCTAGGAGACGAAGAGAGAGGAACCAAGACCATCTACTAGTTCTACTAAATTACTTCCCACTATTTATGGATAGAATCCCCATTATAGGTGTTTGGCTCTCTACAAAAATCATTACAGTTGTTCAAGCGAATTCAGGTGCAGGATAAATGTGTATATTGTGTGTATCCCAGGCCCGTCCCAACCACCCGACCTTAGGGCCTGAATCTCGATATGATATCGAGATACCTTGATAAAAGTTGCAGTGAGGCGGTCTGATATGATCCCTCCTCTGATATACATGAATGATATAGCATGACAGGATGATAAGAGGGTATAAACATATAAAGAAACATGTCTCGTATCCATGCAACATGCAAGAGGAGGCTATTACCATCCTCAGCAGTCTAAAGAAAAAGAAAAGATGCAAATGACCAAGGGATATCTTCTAACAATGCCAAAATGCGTAAGAAATCGTGTGATGTCGTTTTATAAGCCCTCAAATATCCAACTTCCACGCACAACCAATATCCTCCACCGCTGCAACCCCTAATCAGATTTGGGGACCAGCTTGTCCTTCGAGGGACAGTGATCATGCATCTTGGGGATGCCACAATCACCAGCTTTGTCACCTTGAACCGCCGACAAGTGATTGGACTCGGGGCTGCAGCACTCAATAGCCTGAACCCAAGGATCCTCTAACGCGTCGAAAATTGTCATTCGCATTTCCGGGAATGGGTGCAGCATCCGGAGAAGTAAGGTTACAAGCTCCTTCTCCGGCAGGACTTCGGCGAAAACTGTAAGCGGGAAGTTGTCCACCGTCACAGGTATGTCAGGGTATTCTTCGAGGAGATACTGCCAACTTCCTTGAAAGGCTTGGTAGCGTTCGTCTTCATCGTCGGCTAGTCCCCAAGGTAATTTGCCGACGAATAGAGCGAAGGCGGTTATGGCGCAGCTCCACACATCGAGGGCTCGGGCGTCGTAATAGTCTACCAAGAATGAGTATGGAAAAAAGAAAATATATCAGTACGTTGAGAGGCGGGAGAGGGTACATACATTTAGCCTCAAATACCTCTGGCGGAAGATAGGCTGCTGTGCCGCAGAGGCGAGCAGGGAACTCACGGACCCGGCCAAGTTCCCTTTCCCCTTTGCTATTGGGAGGGAAGAGCTCAGCGAAGACCTCGGAGAGCCCAAAGTCGATAATCTTGAGGACGTTATCATTGGCCAGGACCATGTTCTCCGGTTTAATATCGTGGTGTGCGATACCATGGCTATGCATGTATACAACACCCCTGAGCATTTGTTTAAAGAGGCACTTTTTGCCCCCATGGCAAAGAGTTCTCCTTTCCATTAGGTCTAAGAGATCGCCATGTTGGCAGTACTCCATAACAAAGGCCAGGCGAAGCTTGTGTTTGCAGAGGCTAAGAACCTCGACGATATTCGGATGATGCAGGCTCCTGGCGACCTTGAACTCCTCTAGAGCCCGGTCCACATATAACCGCTCGAGCTCTCCTTCCTCCCTGTTGAGAAACTTGGCCGCGTATCTAACAAGCGTGCCCTGCTCCTTCCTCTGCACGATCTTGACTCTGGCAAAGCTACCATCGCCGATGGTGTCATTTGTCAACTCAAACTCCTTGCTGAGCTTTTGGATTATGTATTTTTCCGTCTTCTTGGGTGACGGTGACCGGGTTTTGGTGTGGCTGCTTGAGCAGCGCAGCTTTTCCATTTCGTCTTGGATGGTGATGTGTGCCATTGTTATAGACACTTGCCGGGGTATTTCAAGATATTTAGGGATAGTAGCAAGCGTCGGTTGCTTGATACTCGAGGGGATGGTGGTATATACCAAGCCAAGATAGATATATAAAGCAAGCTTGGTAAATGAGCTAGCCGGTGGTTTCTAAGGGAGACAACGAGTTGGGTGCATTTGAGAAGATGCAGAAGATGGCTAGAATATCGAATGCCTGGCGAAGAATTGTCTCATAGTTGCGACTACGATACTGGGTTACCTAGTATATAGATGACGTTGGATCCATCCATCATAAGGAGTCATCTCGATGACCCCACGGTTGCCCCAGATCCCATCCATCATAACTAGACCCATGGTTGGCACGTTTTAGGCAAACAATATACTCAAGGGGCAGATTTTGTTGGTGCTCTGCGCAGCCATAATGATACTGAGAAAGACATGTAGTCTAGTGTAGAGGAAATAGGGCCTGGCGTTGGAGGAAGAGCCGGTGTGAAGTATACAATCTATTCCCCTAAGGCATGACTGGCAGCTCATGCGGTGAATTACGAAATACTTTTTGAGTCAGAATTGAAAGTTTCTTCAAAATGCTAGACAGTAAAATTTTTCCTATAGGGTAACTATGAGATTTGTATTACTGACGTCTTCATTACTTGGAGGCCGTTCTGCCTGCACATCCGTATACATACAATGCCCGTTTTCCAAGAGGCCTCTAGACAGCGACATGGCGTGTGAACAGAATGCAACAGAACTCTTGGCACTGCAGGACCTGTCTTCAACTTCCTGGATACAGCAAGAGGAATGGAGGGTACTGGACAAGACATTCAAGACAGTAGAGGACAAAAATGTTAGGTTGGTAGTCGCAGCGAGAATTTCCTAGGGCTGCAACGTAATCGAACCATGGTCCTGCCTTGAGTCAGAGCTTGCGTAGGAGCCTACTAATCATGAAAGCCTCTCACGTGCTATAGTGGCACGGGTAGGCTCGAGAAAGGAATACATGTCGGACTCGGAAGTCTATATCCCAGCACCTGAATTTCGTATGAGCCCCTAGGCTAGCCAGGTCGTGAATCCTCTTCAGCGTGTCTGCATGCTGGGGTGGAAGCAGAATGCCCTCGAGAGCATCAATGACTCCTTTGTCTCGGTCTAGAAACTTCGTAATGTGTGTGCCCCCGATACGGCCAAAAGCTTGCATCAGAGAGAGCCAATCGCAAAGGCATCAAGTGGCCAGCGCATCCCAACTACGTGAGACTTTTCAAAAGTCTTGAACGCCAGTCTCCCCTTGTAATCTCGATCGGACATCATCGCCACTTGTGCCTTCAACAATCCATTCAGGTTCTTCTTCATCGAAATATCGCTCTTGCTCTTCGTTCCAGTCATCATAATCGTCATTCTCATCCACAGTAGTGTAGTCAAAGTCGCGGTCTTCGCCCCTTAAGAATCGCAGTGTCATCTCCCATTGCCAGATCTTTTCGCCTTCTTCCTTGCTCGTCGGTATCTCATCTTTGTCCTCCGCGAGGATTTCCCCGTTTGGGCCACGGCTATAGCTAAACATTGCATTGGGATCCGGATGAGACAGGGCATCCAACTTAGCCTCGGAACGGTCAAGATCTGCTTGAAGTATGCCCGAGAATCCTTTGGCTCGTCCTTCAGCCTCTCGTTCCGCCGGTGTCTGGAATCGGCGGATCAAGCGATCGTACAGTAACGGGTCTACAACGCTGGAGTGTTAGCTTTGGTCATCTTTTCCCGACTGAGATAGCAAATGCGATCAGTCGCGGAAAAGAGAGGAAAGAGCGAGCGGACCGGCTAGCTCGAGATCAGCAGAGAAATACTCCGGGTGGGTATCCAGGTAACGTTTCCGACGGTTCTTGATCTGCGTCGCGGGGGATATTGGCATTGCGCCGGACGTGGTGCTTATATCCTTCTCTGCTTGAATCCCGGTACCCATTGGAAAGAAGGGCATATTTAATAGTTAACTCTGGGGGGGGGGGGGAGCAGTACAATTGGTTTCACAAAGTGAGCAGGTAGCACGGAGTAGATCTCATAGATGAGAAGTCGGGAAGAGGTGGACTGAAATGACAAGCGGTGGCAGTTTCAAGACTGGTGGTGGTGGGGGGAGAGCTCCATTCAACCTAAACTGTTTTGGGCCGGAGGACTGCGGCAAATTTCCTTCGAGAATCAAATAATCTCCGCCGTGGCCTTTCAACCAACGAATAACAGTTCGCCTTGGCCGGAGTATGGACTTTGAGCTTTCTATCTGAGAAGGATAGGTGAGAATCACCTCCTGTTTGTTTCACATCGCGCATTGGGAGTTACGCTTGGCTCGTTCACAAGCGCTATCCCCTACTCACACCTGTCCCCTAATGCATTGAACCTACGAATTAACCAAAAATTTCAGTGAAGCCTCTCCAGACCAGGTATCCAACGTTTCTGTGCGACTTACAGGCCAGAAGCAGCAGCCTGTGGAGGTGCGACGCCATGTCGTCTTTTGAAGAAATTATCCAGCAGGTCAACTCGAGAAGACTGTGGAGAGGTGCGGCATTGCTGGCCCTCGCCGCTTTCTCATCGCCTGTGTTTGTGCTGACCTTGGCTCCGGTGTACGGCTCTGCTCCGTCGCAAATCTTCCATGGATATGGAGTTGCCGTCACTGCTGGTCTTGGGTGGTTCCTCAAGGATTTCATTCAGCAGGTAACCAACCGCCGGGCGGTGTATCTACTTCCAGTCGTCGCATTCTGGTATCCCACCATCCAGTACTTTTTGCTCCAGCAGAGCTCCTCGTTTGGGAACCCTACCGGTGCCGTGATTACTGAGGTAATTGCTTTCTATCCTTTTGTTTTGCTCTCTGTCGCCTGTGCCGCCAAATTGGTGCAAGCTGGCCTCAACCTTGAACGTTACGGTGATATTGCCACGGAGCATATCCCCCTCATCAGCTCGTATGTCGTCTATTCTTTCGGAGAGAAACTTGCAAAATCATTCATTGCGAGGTTTATCGGTTCATTTTGGCTCTTCTCGAGCACGGGCCTCCAACTCTTGGTTGCAATTTTGTGTTCTGCCGTCATTCCATCTAAGTGGCTCCTCTTGGCCATTCCGTCTATCCTCTTCACACTCACTTCTAATGTGCATCTGCCTTTGGGGATCACAACTTCAGGGCTCAGATCCGCACTTAATGAAGAGGGATTTGCGCTAGTGGATCGGCAGGAGTCCTCAACCGGTTATATATCGGTTTTGGATAACCTAGAGGATGGTTTCCGTGTGATGCGATGTGACCATAGCCTTCTTGGAGGCCAATGGACCAAGACCTATCGCAACTACAAGCCCAAGGTTCAGGACCCGATTTATGCGGTTTTCTCTTTGCTCGAGGCCGTCCGGCTGGCGGAAACGGGCCACGGAGCTCACCGAGTAGACGCAGACAGCAAGGCACTTGTCATGTGAGTCAAATCCGAATCGCCCTATTTCATCAAGCTAACTGTGTCACAGTGGGCTTGGAGTCGGTACTACACCTGCTGCGCTCATCACCCATGGGATCGAAACCACCATTGTCGAGATTGACCCTGTCGTCCACAAGTTCGCCAGCAAATACTTCCACCTCCCACCTAACCACATTGCAGCCATCGAGGATGCCACACTGTTCGTTGACCGCGCTTTGAAAACTCCCCAGCCCGCTCAATATGATTACATCGTCCACGATGTGTTCACTGGCGGCGCAGAACCAATTGAGCTCTTCTCCATTGAGTTCCTCGAAGGCCTCAACTCTCTCCTTAGGGAGGACGGTATCATCGCAATGGTAATTTCATATCCAATCGACCTCCCATGCTCACACTAACCCTTAACAGAACTATGCGGGCGACCTCTCCCTTTATCCGGCTGCCCTCACCGTCCGCACCATCCAGGCGGTCTTCCCCTCTTGCCGGTTTTTCCGTGAGGATGCAGGCGAAGAAGGCAACGGAGATTTCACGAACATGGTCATTTTCTGTAAGAAGGACTCTGCTACCCCTCTTCGTTTCAGGGACCCTGTCCCTGCCGACTTCCTGGACAGCAAATTCCGTGAGACATACCTCGTGCCCAAGCATGAGATTGACCCAGCTATTTTCACCACTGTTACCGGTGGACGGCCTGTCCTCAGGGCCAAGGAAACTGGTAAGCTTAATAGGTGGCAGGACCAGGGTGCTCTGGAGCACTGGGCTATCATGAGGAAGGTCCTGCCAGACGCTGTGTGGGAGAATTGGTAGAGTTTCTCCATTATATCATATATAGCTGTATAGTATAAACTGCGCAGGGTGGGCGTAGTTCTGCCTCCCCGCTGCTGTTTGGATAGGATAATTGATATGTTATTTGTTTAGTTTGACAACGAAAGTATTGGAACCTTGAACTAGATCACGGTTGTAGAAGTATACACGTCGATGTAATTGCCTACTCTCTGGTGGTTGGGCAGGGAGAGGACACGGGCAGGTATGAATGAAATCCTGAGGAATAATGACAAAGGAGGAAAGCATTCTTTGGACACGGGACTGTAAATCAAAAAGTCCAAAAAAGATGGAGACGCGGGGAATCGAACCCCGGACCACTCCCATGCTAAGGGAGTATTATACCACTAAACCACATCCCCAACTTGTTGAAATACAACTAGAATATAATGCTCTATCACCCTAAAATAAGTATCAACCACGCTAAGCCCTAGCTTATGACGGCTTCGTCCGATAGAAATATACTACATTCTCCATGAGTTGTACTACGACAGTATGTATTACGATACATGCCAGTTAGCTCCGGAAATTCTGGAGAATATACCCGTCTGGCACACTATATTAAGTGCCTCGACCGGTTCGATTAAGTTAAGAATGAACGATTGACATCCGTGGTTTTCGTTAGCAGATTTGTTCCGCTATCTCAACTTCCAAGTGAGATGCCGGTTCCTCGGGTCATTTCGTCAAATCCATGGCTCTACGTGGTATGTTCCTCATCTATGGGTCCTAGAGATAGTATAGGCATCGATCCTCTCTGTGCTGTGGTATTGACAGTCGGCGTTGCCATTCGTGTTATATACGGGGCTGCGTTGGGGGGAATGGGGACAACCCCGCAGTGATATGAAAGTGACGCTTTGCAATGCATCCGATTGTCTCGAGACAGGTAGTGGTATAATTTGTGTTGTGTGATTTCGGTCGCTAGTTTCCCTTGTTGTGCGTAATCATGGTGACTCGATGGCTTGTGCCTGGGTCAGACTAAGTGTTGACCATTGAAGCGATGCAGACTATCTGTAGGTTGGCAATTGCCGCTTTTATTTTATTTTTTTGTTATTTTGCTGGGAGCGTGGTGGGTCCGTTTGCGATTCATATTTGGGTAGACGCCTGGTGGCTATTCGGTGGTAGAGGTGCGCATTTTACCCCAGTGGTAGGTATTGTCGTCCGAGGGTGTCACCGTGGGGGACTCAGATATATATATGGAGAGAAGTAGTATATGCCCTATACACCCGGAACTAATACACGAACAACAACTACACGATGAGAAGTCAGCAGTAGTTTCATGCCATACTCATGAGTAACATGGGTTATATGCCATTATAGCTCATCCTTATAGTAAAAGAAACCATAAATAGCCACCAAGATATGGCCGTCTTCAAGGCTGATGATCAATGTGTTATATACTTTAAGTTAGATTTCCCTCATGTAGCATTCTAGAGAATCATCTTCCATCCAATTGGGGATGTGGTTTAGTGGTATAATACTCCCTTAGCATGGGAGTGGTCCGGGGTTCGATTCCCCGCGTCTCCATCTTTTTTGCCCTACATAGTTTTTTTCTCTTTTTAACACTCTGTAGGCATCTACGACACTCCTCGAACTTCGAATATTGCTTAATGTGAACTCGCCCTCCCGGAGCCGAGCTGCCCACACAATGGAAGATCCGTAGATAGGTCCTTTTGAACGCCAAACTTCCAACGCAAGCAGACCTATAGTATATACTGCCTCTCTACAACTATTGAGCATAAGAAAGATACTAACTTCCTGACAATTGGCACCCCTGGCATGTTTCTACTACCCGACGCTGCTGGTATTCTTCAACGAAGGTATGCTTGGATCCATAACCACATATACCGGCACGGTTCCGAGCCTACGTATGCATTCAGGTAGCCACGGGGCGAGAAGTGGTACCTGGCTACCTTAAACTGGGGTGCCCTATCGGGTAATTTGTACGGTCACTCCATCCTGGAGGACGTTGGGTAGGTAGCGGGCTAAGGGCGTGTTTGTAGGTCTACACAGGGCTGTCTGACAGCCTAACTGCTAGATTTGGCGCCTTTCGAGAAGTATCAATATTTAATGTACATGATGTATAAATGATATGCGTATGTATATAGGTATCGAAGGGTATAATGTACATAAATCACCCAAAAATGAGAGGCCTTGGCTGTAACAGATAGGACACAACAGCCAGCAGATCACTCAACAGAATGGAGGCGGATTTCCTCATCTGGAATGTCATCGGATGGGACATGCTTGTAAGGCTGCGTTTTCCGACGGCGGATCAAGAGATAGATGCTGGCTGCGATACCAGACACTATGCCGCAAAGTACGATGAGGACGAAAACACCACTGACGTTTCGGACGAGGTCATACGTTTCATGTGCCAGCTGGGCGATCTGCTTCACATCCGCATCAACCGGCTGTGAGGATTGTAAGTTGTTGTTGTTGTTGTTGCTATCAGCCTCTCCAGCAATTATCTGCTTGTTATCGTTCGACTTGGGAGCCTTGGGATCATCTGGTCTAAGGGTTTTAAGATCGCCCATGAATCCAGCTGCGGCCCAGTTATCGGGGATCTTGCTTCTCTGGACCCGAGAAGTGCCAAGGACTCGGCCTTCGCGATCAACCGCTTCGGCGGTCACCCAGTCCAGGTACCCGCGGGCGATAAACATCGTCTCAAAATCGGTCTTGTTAGCGGTACCGATAAGGATAGGGTGGCCATTCTTCGCAGCCCGCGCGTAGAAGTTCCATCCAGCGACATCGGTGGCACCATTCCAACTGACATAAAAGGTAGTCGAGAGATCCGTCTGATCAGTGCCCCAGACAGAGGCAACCAGATCAGGAGGTGCACTAGGGCGGCCGGTGAACTCAAACTTGTATGCACGATAGGTCGAATAGCGCGAGGAGGCAAAGTTTGCCGTTAGCAAAGTGTCACCTTCGGGGGAGAACTCAGAAATATAGCCCCTTTCGCTCCATCCAACAAACACGTTGTCGTTTGTGAGTAGCTGAGTATTGCCACGGAGACGGGTGAGGCCACCATCGGGACGGTTATAGCGTCGGATAACCTTAGCAGTCTTGGGGGATGCGCTGGTATCCAGCTCGATGAAAAGAGCCGACGATACGTCCTCGTCATTGCTGTATTCATCAGAGGCATTATTAAGGATCGAAATGACATGGTGCGTCCCATTAGATTCAATGAACTTCACATCGTGCTGCTTGGAGAATGTGAAGTCTTGTTCAAAGTCAGTGTACTGCCCGCCCAGCCGCCACATAATATTGCCATCCCTGCCGGAAACCATGTAGATCGTGTTGGTAAACCGATAAGAGATAATGTAGTCGCCATCGTCGTTCTTGTCGATTGCATTGATATGGACATAATCCCATCCGGGTGCCCCCACGGGAGGGGTCTCCTTGTTGACCGTGACAGATTCACTCAGGGCAACTTTGTCGACACCATCCCAGACATAATTAATCTTTTCCGAGCCCAAATCTATTTTGACAAACCCGCCAGACAAAACATACGTATGCTCGCCAGGACGATCCATCGTGTCCAAAGCGATTTCATGTTCCCGGTAGGTGATGGCCATAGCTGTTTTGCCATCGTCGAGGATATTGAACTCGTGTATATCAAACGCGCCGTACTCGTCCGGCATCGGAATCTTCTTTTTGATGTCATAGGCATTATCTAGTATAACGCCATATCCATTGTCCGAGTGATCGTATGCGATTTGCCAGACCAACGACAGGTGTGGTTTGTCACCAATGCTGTGGACAGCCTTGAAATCGAAGATGTTGCGGTTATCAAACATGGGCGAGCCAGCCCAAATGAGCATCTATAGCGCAGGGCATCGGTTAGTCGTTGATTTAGGCGGGATTGCGGGGTGTGGGACTCAAGGTAGGGACTTAGAAAGTGAGACATGCCCCATCGCCATCATAAATATAGGGTCCGATCTGGAATGGTTTATATTGTTGCGACGGAGGTTCCGGGTCGATTTTCCCATATGGCGCGACGAACCAGTAGCCCGGGCTGACGCGATCGCGGTCCTTGTAGTACACTTCATATTTTAACGCCCTGACATCCGGGAGCTAGACGGGGTTCCCCTTGTTTTTTAGCAGCGGTATCTTGCGGATTCCATGGCAGGCATTTTTCGATAGTTCGAGCTTACCGTCACAAAGGACATTAAGTCGTCATTGGCGCTAGTTTGTGCAAATGCCGTAAGCACCAACTGGAGTAGTGCAACAATGGGGAAGATCATTCTCTCATGGAAAGGAAACTAGACGGATAAGAAGGAAAAGACCGGACAGAGAAAGTAGCATGAAGTAGGAATAGATTAGAACCAAGTAAGATCAAATGAAAGAGTGTGTGAAGGTAAGAAAATCAAGATAAATTTCTTCATGAATTTTTGGCGACAAGCATGGAGTCCAGCACCCAGGCTCTCTCTCTCTCTCTCTCTTCCCCTCTCTCTCTCTATGTATGTACAAGGGGGGGGGGGGGGGTGGGTGGGAAATAGTTGGTTGATCAAGTGGGAAAAAGGATTACGTTTGAAGGGCTTGGTATAAATCTAGTGTGCTTTGCACACACGACGCAAATGAAACGGCACCGGGCCCCGTCTGAGAGCCCGTCTCGTATCCCTGTTGGTCATATTCGATCGCTTCAGTCCCCCAGGCCCCAGACGCGAGGATGCGCCCCCAGCCCTGCGAGTTGTGAGTTGTTAAGGTGTAACGCTTGGTGGGTCGGTGGCTTCTCGGCATTTGCCGGTTCCAACCTGGTATACGTAAAGATTGTCCTCACCATCCGGACTTCGGAGTAAAATCCAGTCATGATCTGCGTCGTGTTTCAGGCCCCCCTCGGTCTTATTCTTCCGTCGTGGCTTCGGAGACGTGTACCTGCTGATCGAAACAGATTATCAAAAGTATGGGATGTAGATATGTCGGCGTTTTACTGGAGGAAACTACGAGTGAATATGTACCATGTTCTCCGAGAGTTGAAACCACTAGGAAATCCATGGCAATAGAGGTTGATTCCGTATTTTACTCTGTAGAGATGTTCTAATTACGCAAAGACTGCTTTCACTTTCTTTTTAGGCTCTTACCAAATAAACACGATAATACAAGGGCCATGTTCTGGTACTATCTCGAGTATGAGTGGTTCTCTTGAGTCTTTGAATATAATTTTGATCTATATAACATTTAGACTAGGCATCTTCCATCCAATTGGGGATGTGGTTTAGTGGTATAATACTCCCTTAGCATGGGAGTGGTCCGGGGTTCGATTCCCCGCGTCTCCATGTTTTTTCTGATCTTTCCCAGATACTCATCTGGGACATACCGCTCAGGTGTCAAATATCCAATGGGAATTTTCTATTGGACCGACTTTCTTTTTTATGGCCTTCGTATACTATATGTTAGACACATACAATACGGATAGTGGCTATGTGTATTGGCGGGCTTAATGCTTCAACCAAATCTATGCATATTAAGTCTTCCAATTTTCCAATGACATGGTAAATCTTTGGCAGACTCGAACAACTCGCGATAACGATGACACTGCTGTAGAGATCACGCTAGCTGCTATTGCAGCCGTGGGTTGTCATGGATGGATGTTCCCCGGCGTTTAATGTTGGTATATGATGGTCATATCCTACACCTTAACACGGGTAAAGTATGGAGCAGTCCATTTCATCCAGTAAATCGGGCAATTCCCATTAATGTTTTGTAGCTGTAGAGGATATATCATCCAATTGAAATACAGATAGTTCAAAGGGGATCAAGGAAAATAGTCTTATGGGTAATCCGCCGCCGCCTCTCCGACTCCTAACCCAGCCTAAAGCCATTCCGGTATCAAAAAACAATGACAATGAGTGTCGCTAAGCCGATATCCTCGATGCCTGGAGTATGTACGGTGCGCGAGGGTAAATAAAAGTACAATCCAAAAAACATCAACCGAAAAGCACGAGACTATGCCGACGGACTCCCGCGAGGGCTTCCGCCAGGCTTCTTGACCAAGCCTGCAAAGAAGTTTGCCAGAGCTTGGTTGTGCGATTTCTCTCCAGAGGGTGCCGAAAGGGTATCCTTCCTCTGGGATCGATTGGCCTCTCTCTCCTAAATGATGGATCAGGCGGTTAACGACACGACTCCGAACAAGACAAGCGCCGCTGAAGTCGCCACTCACCTTAAGTTTCCTTAGCATATCATCAGCATCCACCTGAATGCCGCCCATATTGAATTGGACAGGCCCGATGTGCTCATTCACTCGGCCATTATCATCTAGCGGTGACATCTCAAGCTGGGGCACTGGTTTAGCTGTGCGATCCTTCTCGTCTTCAATTTTTAACTGTTCTAGGACCTCCAACTGTTTTGTCAGGAAGCTTTGCATGTCGGATGTGTCGACCTCAACCTTGTTTTTGCTATATTGACTACCAGGATGTGTGATGGATGCGTCTCGTTTGGGGTCTTTGATCGTTTGTTCGAAGATAGCCACGGCGCTTGTTCCATCATCCAGACCGGCTGCATTTTCGCCTTGAGGCTTATCATCATCTATTGGCGAACCAGAGAGCGGTTCTGGCGGATCTTGAATCTCAATCGACCATGCTGTTGATACTCCTTCCATATCAAATCCCTCCCTAATAATTCGAATCTTTCCCCAGGAGTCCCAGTTTGAAGGTACTAGGATCTTATCGCGATCAATCACGTTGTGTTTGAGGGACTGTCTCTTCAGGAGCGAGTGTATACCGAGCGACGAATGTAATAAGCTCTGAAGCGAGTTGGCTAGAAAAGGTGTCGTATAGATAAGTGATGCGCCATCTGCTAGCAATTAGAGAGTCGCTCGAGATCATAAGAGGCACAAAAGGGGGTTATAAAAAAAATAAATAAAGAAAAATAAAGATAAAAATAAAAACTCACGTTTAAGAAGAATCGTTCTCATGAACTGGAGAATGAAATCGAATTCCTCCTCGTGCCAGCCATGGTCCTTCTCCAGTTTCTCGATCTTATCAGCCTGCAGCAATTGACACCGTCAATAAATTATCCCCTCAAACGATGCTGTTCGCATGTAAGGTGTTCCGGGCACTACGTACTCCCTGACAGACCACACACATAGGAATTCCTAGCCCCTCGTCCCATTCGCCGGGCCCCAAAGGTATCGTGACCGGACCACCCGAGCTGGTCAGCCCTTGTGCCCCTGTTGAACTGGGATCCATGCCCCTCTTTCGATCCCTCCACTCTGTCATAGTTTCTTCCATCACGATTTTCGTCTCATCATCTAGAGAAATGAGTACATGTCGCAAAAGGCGGACCCATTCCCTTAGCCGCCGGACCCATGTCCAAGGGTCTGACCAGTCTAGCAGGATCACGACCAGCGTCTCCGGGACAGATTGGGCGGTCAAAAGCGGTTTGAGAAGGGGCGCAAAAGATAGAGAGGGTTCGGAGAGTAGATAGGCAGAGACACGTGCCAAAGTATCTTTTAAACTACACATTAGCTCTATTCAAAAGCGCGGAAATGCCTTTGAAGGTGTGTAAGTATGATCATATTTACCTTCTTGGTCAGCATCTAGAACATCTTGGTAGGTATAACCCAAAGCGAACTGATTGGCAACCGGGGGTACCCTTCCCTTCCGCCGGTCATTTGACAGGTTGGGGTCTGATGTGTCGGCAGACAGTGTGTCTAAAAACTCTCTTTGGCTCTCGGGGGTACCTCCTGAAAAACATATATACCTGATTAGCGACACACTGGGCCATTCTGTGAGCATCAGGGAGGTCGAAGCTGTATACCTAGGATGAGAAGATTCTTTTCCGGTAAGCGCTTTCCGTTGGCGACGCTATCTAACATAGAAGACCAGATATTCTTCTTCGGGCCATCCTTGCTCGACGGTCGACTGTTGTTTCCCGACCCGAGCTTGGGCCCGGGATTGTGACTTGAAGTGAACATTGTCTGTCCAATTTCGACTGTATTTAGCCGGCGCGGACCATCCCAAGCGGTCGCGAGACAGCCCTGTCAATATTCCGACGACTTTAACGCGTGGACCACGAATTCTCAAGATCGGTGAAATAATGGAACAGCGGTCGGAACAGTGTCAGGGGATATGGATCCGTAGTCGGTATACTCTGTTAGCCGTTCAGACAGAACCGTAGACAAGATCTGTTCCCGAGAAGAAAAAAATGTCTTCAATATAGCTAGCAGCCGCCTATGAAGATGTTGAAATTTCCAAGGGTGTTGCGAGGAAGAGTTGTTCCGCAGAGGGGGGAAATTACAAGTTATTTTGTTGTAAACAATAGTTGCAAGTGTCGCCGTTCTTGGGTGGGACCTCCCGCGGAGGCCGCCCGTGATTGATCTCTTTGCAGCTTAGTCCCGTTCTCCGAGACGTAGTAGCTATCTATCTATCTTTTGCGCCAGAAAGATCTACCCCAGCACGTTCAGCTATATACAGGTCTACTCTCCTTCCGAAAGCGTGATATATGCTTATCTCGCTCACTCACTCGGAAGTCGCATTGTAATAATGAACGCTATCCGTCAGATCCAGTCGCTCAATAAGCGCGAACTTGAAAATGCAATGTGCGTGGTACTTTCGCTCTAGATTGGAATCCCGTCCCCTAAAGGATATCCTGCTAACACTAGTTAACTGATACAGCCCACCTGAAGCGTCCTGGCACGCCGATTACCGAGACACAGCATACATCTACATCGGTGGTTTGCCATTCGACCTCTCCGAGGGTGATATTGTGACAATCTTCTCGCAGTATGGCGAACCAGTTCACGTGAATCTCGTGCGCGACAAAGAAACTGGGAAGAGTCGAGGATTTGCATTTCTAAAATATGAAGACCAGCGCAGTACAGACCTTGCCGTTGATAACTTGGGTGGATCCACAGTCCTGGGAAGAATGTTGCGCGTGGACCACGTGAGATATAAGAGGAGAGATGATGAAGAGGAAGGGGATAATGTTGCAAAACTGATGGGCGACGCAGTCGCTAAGAGCGCAGATGATGGAGATACAGATGATGAGCGACGAAGGCGGAGAAAGAGGAGAACCAGTGAAGACGAGCCCCGAAGACGACCTCTATTGAAGGAAGAGAAGGAGCTTGAGGAGTTAATGGTGAACCACGATGAAGAGGACCCGATGAAGGAATATCTCATACAGGAGAAGAAGGAGGAAATAGCGCGAGCACTGGAGAAGCTTAGCCGAGAAAAACCATCCCGCAGACGAGAATCTAGTAGGGAAAGGTCGAGTCGCCATCATCGTCACCGCCACCATCGCCGCCGGCATGATGAGGACCGCCCCCGTTCACGGGAGAGGGGTACCCGAAATCGACGGTCGCGCTCGAGAGAAGAGCGATCTTATAGGGACAGATCGCCAGCAAGGAAGGAGAGAAGCTACAGAGATAGGACGCCAGTGGGATCGCGATCGCCAGAACCACGGCGGAATCGAGATAGAGAGGACCGACACCGATAAATCTCTAACGTGTGGTAATGCTTTCTATGAAAAGGTGACAGATTTGATCATATTCTCTACATGGTCGCTGGGGCACAATTGATGAGCCGCTAGCTTAGAGCCAGATGCCCATCATCTTAATGATGAAAGAATGCACGGATCAGCTAAAGCGTGGGATAACAGCCACCAATTGAAGTAGATGCTCTGACGTCCGTTATCTGCCATATGCAGAAAAAAGCCTGTCAGGTCTCATACTGCGACGTTGACCTCAAGCATTTGCCAGACAAATGGTCCTTTGCTTGTAACGGGAACAAACACCATTGTCCCAGAAAGACGCGCATAAGTAGTACTCTTAATGCTAGACCTCTTTCCCGCATAATTTTGCGGAGAACTCCATTTCAACCGCCTCCTAAGTATCTTTTCCAGCCTTCCCGCATACAGTAGCGCTTTCCATCGCCGTCTTCACGAAGGACGAACTTCTCCCAGCGTCCGTCCCTGCCTGATCCCAGAACGAGAATTGTTTGGTCGTCGGGCCATCCTATCACACCTTTAAGAGGTCTCCCAAATGAGGCCCCAAGAGGTGGCACATAATGAGAACCTAGTGCCGATTCATCACCAATCTCAAAAGGAGCACTTGCAAAAGAGTAAACATCAGAGAAAACCCTAGGAAGCAGCGGGATTTTCCCAAGGATGCCCCATTTCTGGTTCGTTCCCTCTTCCGATGATTGGGATGCTAGTGGATTGCGATGCGAAGGATTTCGTGGGTGAGGGAGGTCAAAGACGTGTAATGTAGACTTGTCCGATGTTACGGCCAATAAATTGTTCGAAGGCGAGATGGCGAGAGAGAATATCACTGCCTGATCGACCCCCCGCCGTAGTTCAGCCATTTTCGTGCAATTGCTGGTGGAGAATACCCGCACCAGAGTTCCCTAATGTAATAGTCAGTGATAGATCTATTTTATAGTCAAGGGTTCGCGGACGATACCATTTCACTCGCTGTTGCAAGCACCTCTCCATCCGGGCTCAGCGTCATAGCACGTAATGGTGAGCTGTGGGCAGGTATGATGCTGACGTTCCCTGTTTCTAGCTCAACTAATTGAACTTGTCCGGGAGACCGTCCAGGGAAAGCAAGCAGCTTCTGCCCCAAGCAGGCTAGGCCCATCGGATTATCTGTTGTTTCAAAGACAGATAGCTTTTGCGGGGGATTTGAAAATGCGAAGATGTGGATGCTGTTCAGCAAAGCGACGACAATTCGCGATTTTGACAAACGGACACCCAGTACAGAGGTACGAAACTCTAGAGTAATGACCGCTTTCTGTTTGGCATCATCCCAGATAGCCAGCTATGGAGATGCGCCATGAGTACACAAAAGCCGAGTGTTGCAGTGCTAGAAACGTGGTAGTCTACCCACCTTGTTTTGGGGAAACTTAGGTTGCCTTCCTCCACCAACGATGGCTAAGTAATTTGTCTGTCCAAGCATCACCGCGACACCGATGCCTGCATTGAAGTCTACAAGATACATGAAGTCAGCGGCATGGAGGCGACTACACGGACCGGGCTTGGGTATGAAGGCCAACGGAGCTTGCATACCTCTTGATACTTTCAGCTCACAAGGGTCGGCATCAAAGACTACAACAGGTCATTCTGTTCTCAGCTTGGTTATTCCCCCAAGGTAATTCTGATGCGTAATTGGAAGACATACCACAGAACCCCGTATCAAGGCCAACAGAAAAACAGCTGTTGTCATTATTGAAGGTCGCGGAAAGGGAGAATGGCCCCACGGATTCATCAATAACCTGACGGGTATTCATGATGGTTATCGAGCCAGGAGACTGAAACCGATGCTATAACGGAAAGTACCCAAGTAGATATTGAGTGCATTCAGGCAGCTTTATCACCTCTAAATAGCAGAGGTCACCAACTGGATTACTAACCAGGAACGTTGATGCTGAGTTGAGGGAGGCATTCGCTGGCTTAGGCAAGATGAGTTGGTCTCCCCCGGATTAGGTATGGGAAGAGTATGATGAAACAAACAGCCAATGAGTCGATGGCCGCCAGGTCTAGGTTCAGGTTACTAAGTTGTACATCCACCACCACCACAACCACAAGTTCAAATCCCGCCCTTATCGTTTCTTTTCCTCTCACCCCTCGTTGCTCTTTCTTTCTGCGTCTCAGATTGACCCTCCACGGACCATGACCGTGCCACCATTGCATCGATGGGACGTTGCCTTTTTAGGCTAAGATTGATTTTAAGTTACATCCTAACTTATCATGGTAATTTCCGGGTTACATTTCTCTGCCTATATTTGAACGTCATCTACTCTGCCTGTACATACATCCGCACTTTTCTTAGAAGACCATACCCTATCTAACTACAGTGTAAGAGGACTATGCGGATAGTAACGGGTCAGTAGTAGTCGTACTACAAACGCTGTACATATATATCTAGGACTTTTAAATGATATAACTATTCCCCGGATTACAACAGGTACGCCTACTAGAAGCTTAAGCTGATGAAGATTAGCTGTTATGCTTTAAGTATATCAATGCAGTACCAGCATTAATTACTAGTGCCCCTTTGCGCATCTCCACTGGAGATCGAGTGAACACTGCATAGAGTTATTGTTGCCCTAACGGAAGAAAGCCCGAAATAGATCATGAGGAATATTCAAGAATGACGGTAGTAGCTAGCGCCACAGAGATCATTTTCTTGTATCACCTAGAATATGCATAAAATACCCATTTTTTTTTTTTTTTTTTTAGAGATCAATCAGTCGTGTTTATTGAAGTAGACAAGCTTCCTGCTTAAGGTGACCACTACTAACGGCCATTAGGTTGTACTGTGTATTGTATGTATGTACCCGGCGCGTTTTCAGTACCATTTGAGCGGCCCGCAGCGACCCACGGATTCTTCCATTGGATGTTCCTCAACCCCTGAAAAGGATATGGACTGGGGGACTCAGAAATGGTCGGATCAAGCCAATAAAGTATGAATTCAACAATGAACAGGGCTATTGTAAAAAAAAAATATATATATATATATATGAGAATGAGACGAGTTCCGACCCAATGCTAAGTTTAGCAAGCTACTAGGTATCCTCATCTGTCACAATTGCGATTCTAAATAGAGAGCAATAATTGATGATCCTCATGTCCATATCAGACAGGTAAATTATTAGGAGAAGTCAGGTACCACTGTCGAAGGTACCTGACAATACGGTACTGGTTCTGTTCATGACTGAAGTTCAACCTGGAGAAGCGTACGGTAGACGTGATTGGCCCGGGAAAGCTCAGAAAAGGAAAGGGGGGTAACGCTCCTGTCAGCGATGTTTGTATCAGTGATACAGTGTTTGTATAGTACATGATACCATACAGGGACAGCCTGAGTGCCTTATTGTACCGGAGCTAAACTAAACAAACTAAGGGAGAACCACTTTCCCCCTAATGGGCGAAGTAAGGTAACGTCTCTCTTCCTCTCACTTCAACTTGTCTGCTGCTCATTCGACCTCAGGAGAGCAGCGATTTATCCCATCCTCCATTCACCTTCTTCTCCCGGTCCTTTCCTTAGCCAAAACCACTTTTTGTGCTTAGCCGCTCGCTTTCTTCCAACTTCCTTCTCTTCTTTCTTGTTCCCCCCTTTTCTCCCCACGTTCTCTCCTTATTTAGCCCACCATGTCGTCGGCTCTCAACGCGGTATGTTACTTGCTTCCCCTTTCCACACTCGCTACTTAAACATATCAACCATTTGCCCCTTCTCGACCTTCACCAAACGTACAATTATCCCTGAATGGGTCCCTCTCTCCAGACACTACTACCCAATCTACTTCACATGAGTTACTGATCATGAGTTCAATGTCCTATAAACAGATCAAGCTCCGTCGCAAGAAGAATGTCAAGAAGGGTATCCAGTTCTGTTTGATGGTCTGTGGTGCCAGCGGAACTGGTGCGTATTGGAATTGCCCCATACTCTGCTCTCCTTTACTCCCGTGTGGGAACTGACCAATTGCTATTCTGACAGGCCGTACTACCTTCGTCAACACCCTCTGTGGCAAGCAAGTTCTGGAGGGCAAGGACGCTGATGATGCTGCCAATGCTCATGTTGAGGAGGGTGTCCGCATCAAGCCGGTTACGGTTGGTAAGTCGATATTCGAATCGACATTGGAATGGCTGTATGCTAATTGGGCGGCCCGAAGAACTTGAATTGGATGACGAAGGCACCCGAATCTCTCTCACTATTGTCGATACCCCCGGATTTGGCGACCAGATTGATAATGAAGCAAGGCATGTGAACGCTGCTAGTGCTGGATTCGCCGCTTGCAAGACTGACCGGTTTACAGCTTTGGTGAGATTGTTGGATACCTTGAGCGCCAGTACGATGATATCCTTGCCGAAGAATCTCGAATCAAGCGAAACCCCCGCTTCAGGGACAACCGTGTCCACGTCCTTCTGTACTTCATCACACCGACTGGCCATGGCCTCCGTGAGCTGGATATCGAATTGATGAAGCGTCTTTCGCCTCGTGTCAACGTCATCCCCGTCATCGGAAAGGCTGACTCCCTAACTCCTGCCGAACTGGCTGAGTCCAAGAAGCTCATCATGGAGGATATTGAGCATTACCGCATCCCTGTCTATAACTTCCCTTATGATATTGAGGAGGATGATGAGGATACCGTGGAGGAGAACGCCGAACTACGGGGGCTTATGCCGTTTGCCATCGTTGGTTCTGACGACTTTGTGGAAATCGATGGCCGGAAAGTACGAGCCAGGCAATATCCTTGGGGTGTTGTTGAGGTTGAAAACCCTCGCCACTCTGATTTTTTGGCCATCCGAAGTGCTCTTCTTCACAGCCACCTTGCGGATTTGAAGGAGATCACCCACGACTTCCTTTACGAAAACTACCGTACCGAGAAGCTCAGTAAGAGCGTTGACGGTGCCACTCCGTACGTTATCCACTCCTACCCTTGTGCTAATGTTGCAGGATACTGACCCCTCTAGCAGTACCCAAGATTCGTCGATGAACC